AGAGAGAGAGAGAGAGAGAGAGAGAGAGAGAGAGAGAGAGAGAGAGAAGCTTCAGAAACCCACAAAGGAAGTGACGTGGTGGAGGAAAACACACATGCTCCACAGAGGAGAACCCCTAACAAGGGTTCAGCTGCTGGGGTCCTGCCTGGGGGAGGAGGGTACTAAGAAACTACTTCCTAAACAGAAAGCAGATAAAAGCGTGGCAGGCCAACCACTAGGACAAGGCCACCGTGCTCAGGAGCCTCCAATCTGCTTGCAGTGTTTGGTGAGAGAACCGATTTCCCTGGTGGGTGGTCTGCAGCTGAATGAAATCTCCTTTTGTTGTGCTACTGACTCTGAATGCAGCCATCTTAAGGATCTGGAGTTAAAAACAGAGCTACCCCTACACTTAAAGGAGCACTATACACGGAGAAGGAAGAGAGCAAGCCCCAATTACAAGAGCACAAGAAAGAATACATTTCGTGGTGGAACAAAGGACCCCACCAATCCAGTCCAGCAAGCCAGTAATACCCTGATATTAACAGGGAAGAAAAGAACAACAATCCAGCCGATCACAAAACAGTAATTTTGATCACAAAGGATCAAATTACAGGGGTTGGCACACATGTCTCAAAAGCAACCTTAAATGTATACGGATAAAGCTTACCAATAAGGAAAGCGACTAGCCAACTGGCTAAAGAACTAGCTCCAGCCATACATTTTCTCTAAGAAGCACACATATTGTTCAAGATGCCCAAGGATGATAGTCAAGTGGGGGAGGCAAACCATCAAATGAAAGGAACTTGAGCACAAGCTGGTATGGCTAATCCTACAATAGAAGCTTCCAAACAAAATTACATAGAAGGCTACTGGATTTTAGTAAGGGGAAACGTCCATCTAGAAGATATTGTAAATATGAAGGAAGCAAATGTTGGGTTCCATAGGACAAACACTAGTGGGCATATAAGGTCAGATAGGGCCAGATATATTTCTTAGGAGTGGGTGCTTCCATCATTCCACTCTAATCTCTAGAAAGGGCATCCAAACTGATAATCAAAGAAACCTCACAAACTGATAAGGAACCTTGCACACTGATTATCAAAGAAGCCTCAGTGTTGGGCTCTACCACAGAACATACGGACTTAACAAATATTTCATAGAATGACAGGCTAGTCCACCCAACAGAAACAGAATACACACTTTTCTCAGTGCACCTGGGAAACGTCTCTAGCACTACAAACCAAGGCTTTCCAGACACAAAAGGATCGAATGGCCGCTTGTATCTTACAGAGTATAGTGAAGTTAATTAGAAATTAGTAATAGGAAAACTCCAGAAACTGCACAAATACATGGAGACTGAATGGCACCTTTAAGTGGCCAGTGGGTCAAATCAGGGAGGAAATTGGAACGTTTCTAAAACTAAGTGAAAATAAAAGTACAAGTTACCAGAATCTTTGGGATGCAGGTACATACATACATACACACAATAAATAAATAGTGTATGTATTTTTTTTTTCAAGACAAGGCGGATCTCTGCCTCCCAAGTGCTGGAATTAAAGGCATGTGCTACCACCACCCAGCATATGTAATTTTTAAATAAAATTTATTTATTTATTTATTTATTTATTTTATAGGATCTGCCTGCATGTATGCCTGCAGGCCAGAAGAGGGCAATAGATCTCATTACAGATGGCTGTGAGCCACCATGTGTTTGCTGGGAATCTGGAAGAGCAGCCAGCACTCTTAACCTCTGAACCATTTCTCTAGGCCCCAAGCCATCTCTCCAGCCCCCTTATGTAATTTTAAAATAAAAAATCCAATCTCAAATAAAAAAAAAATTAGTGAAAAAATCCCATTTCCTTTAGCTCCAAAACCAAAAAATATCTTGGTGAAGACACTAGAAGCTGGAAAGATCTCCCATGCTCATTGGTGGGCAGAATTAACATAGTGGAAATGACTACATTACCAAAAGCAATCTAATCTATAGATTCAACACAGTCCCCATCAATGTGCTGTGACATTCTCCTAGAAACAGTAATTCTAGAATTCATATGGAAGCACAAGAGAGCCCAAATGTCTGGAGGAATTCTTAGCAGCACTGGAGGTATCGTAGGACTGGATTCTAAATTTTCCTACAGAGTCCCTGAAACCATGTCTACAAAAACAAAAACAAAAACAAAAAAAAGAAGTGTTCAACAAGCTGGGCAGTGGTGGCACATGCCTTTAATCTCAGCATTCGAGAGGGGCAGAAGCCGGCAGATCTCTGTAAGTTTGAGGCCAGTCTGGTCTACAAAGGGAGTTCCAGAACTGTTACACAGAGAAACCCTGTCAGGAAAAACCAAAAAAAAAAAAAAAAGTGTTCAACGTTCTTAGGTAGCAGAGGAAGACAAATGAAAACTTCTTTGAGAGTCTTTTTCTTTTAACACTTTATAATCAGTGTATTAGGAGACAGTCATACATTTCAATAACTGCTTAAATTCTGATACTCAGATTTAAGCATGTGAACATGTGACTTTAAAACATACAACAAAGCTATTCATAATTTGCTATACTACCAACATTAAATTGTAGTTATGTTGGAGCCCAAGTCAAAGATGATACATGCAATTCACTTCCCCACACACAAGGTCTCTTCACTTTAATTTGTAAAATTACTTGGGTTTTGGAAGTCACTACCCAAGGGCTTATTATGGTTTAAGGAGAAGGGAAAAGAGGTGGCCATGTTCTCTAACTGTGTGTGTATATATGTATGTATGTATGTATGTATGCATGTATATGTATATATACACATATATGCATATACACACATATATAAAATCTTTTAACAGATGGCACAGCAGAAGAGAATGCAATCTAGAAGAGCAAGCCCTTAGGCAGTAGTTTATGATAAATTTCTTTAGGAATGTATCATTTCTGTCACTAATAGCAGGTGAAATGATGTATTATGCCACCTTCTAGTAATGGCTGAGGCAATACAATGCAGAGGCATCACAATTAGTCCACTTCATACAACTAGACAGACCAACATGTCACTACTAATTGTTTTCTTTTTCTGATTACCTTAAATACAGAATTTTAATTCCATAGCTTAACAATTAAGGGTCATATAACACATACCTAGCATATCAGTCTAATGTACACAGCTAATATCAGTTACAGAAGATATGGCCTAACAGATGCTAGGGAACTTTTAAAGTAGGTTTTTACAAGTATTAAACTTGAACATTGAAGTCATCATACATACAGGGCAAAGTCAGAGCTTTTATATTTGTGTTTATTCTTCATTTATCTTTTAAAACACTACTATAGTTGAATAATAAAACAAGAACAACAGCTAAGTAGTGAGCATATTATGATTACAGTCCTTCCCATATTCACTACTGCATATAGAGTGACAGACAGTAACTGGTCCACTAAGAGGTCCGACACTGAACGCCACCTCTGGGGTGATGTTCATCGTCCTCATACACTTCTCCATCATAATGACGCTGTCTTTCCTGATTTGGATCAAAGTCCATCAGTTCTACCTGATCCATTTCATCAGTCTCTTCTACTTCCTTCCTTTCAGGAAGGAGTTTTTCCAGCAAAGAGAGATTATCAGAAGAGAGAAAGCCATTCTCAGGAAAGTTGACCTTAAAGTCAATGATTAGACATTCTTTTTCATTTGGCCGACGATATGTTGGCATACCTTCATTTAGCACACATTTTATATCTCCATGCTTGACAATCTGACACGGATGAGAGGTGATGACTATGGTTCTGCTGTCAAGAGTGGACATTGGCTTTTGGAAGCCGCACAATGCCATAACCAGCTGTATGTCCATACACATGAAAAGAGCTTCTCCTCGGTGTGTAAAAACAGCCTGGTCCTTCTGGTCTAACACAATGATAATGTCTCCTGGCTCCAGTCCTGGCTCTTGGTCTCCTTCACCATGGAATGTTCTCTTCTGACCATCTTTCATGCCTCTATCAATATGAATTTCTAAAATCTTCCTCTCTCGAACTATCTTTCTTCCATTGCAGCTTTTACATCTGTCTTTAGAACCAATGCATTCTCCGTGACCCTGGCATTCCATGCACACTGACTGAATTTGCTGAACCATGCCCGGTCCGATCTGATGAATCCTTATTTGCACGCCAGTCCCACGACAGTTGGGACAGCACCCTACTGCTCCCTTCTTACCACCTCGGCCTTCACATCTGTCACAGATCACCTTCTTCTGTAGAGCCAGTTTTCTTGTTGCACCATTACACAAGTCTTCTAAGGTCACTGAGAGCTGATGCACAACATTTTTACCTCTCCTTCCTCTCTGCATCCTCCCTCCTCCTCCAAAGAACATATCAAAGACATCCATGGGTGAGCCAAAACCACCACCTGCTCCACCCTCTTTAATTGCCTGCTCTCCTCCTTTATCATATAACTCCCTTTTTTGGAATCAGCAAGAACTTCATAAGCTTGAGAAATCTGTTTAAACTTTCTGCCTTCATTTGGATCCTTATCAGGATGGTACTTCAAGGCCAATTTTATATATGCCTTTTTCAATTCTTCCTGGGTGGCATTGGGTTTGACCCCCAAAACATCATAGTAAGTGGTTTCTTTCACCATTTTTTTTTTTTTTTGTTACAGCCAGTGAGCAGGCCGGTGCCAGAGAGCTGAAAGAGGAGCATAGCACAGCGCGGTTCAGGCAGACGCCACTCCTCCACCTCCCACCGAGCTTTCTGGAAAGTTCCTGAGAGTCTTTCTTTTCCCAGTCAGAATGACAATCATCAAAGAAACAAATGATGTTCTGGACAGATGGCTCAGTGCTTCAGATTGCTGACTGCTCTTCCAGAGGACCCAGTTCCGTTCTCAGCATCCACGTGGCAGCTCACAACTGTCTGTAACTCCAGTTCCAGGGGATCTGACAACCTCATACAGACACACATGCAGGCAAAACACCAATGCACATTAAATAAAACTAAATCATTAAAAAAAACACTGAGACAAAACTACTGTACAATTCCACTAAACCACTCTTGAGTATATACTGAAATACTATAGGTCACGCAGACGTACTTGCACATACATGTTTACCACTGCACTGTTCAATGGCCAGGGAGTAGACTCTACCTGGATGCCCATCAATAGATGAATAAAGAAAATATGGTGGGAGGTGGTGGTGTATGACTATAATCTCAGCTTTTGGGAGGCAGAGGCAAACAGATCTCTGTATTCAAGTCCAGCCTGGTTTACAGAGCTAGTTCCAGGACAGCAAGACCTGAAACCCCATTTCAAAAAACAAAAAACAAACAAAGCAATAGCAACCAAAGAAAGAATGAATAAATGAAAGAGAGAGAGAGAGATGGCATAAATATACAATGGAATTTTATTCAGTCATATGGAACAATGAACTCATGGCACTTGCTGGAAAGATGCAATTGGAAAACATTATGTTAAGTGAGATAAGCCAGATTCAAAAGACAAATGGATAGTTTTCTCATATGCAGAATAATGTCTGTTTAGAGACAAAGTCATATGATGTAGCCCCGGTTGTCTTGGAACTCAATACAAGACTGGCCTCAAACTCACAGAGATCTACCTGTCTGCCTCCTAAATCTAGGATTAAAGATGTGAATCACAAGCTTTTTATTTTTATTTTCTATGCATGAGTGTGTGTTTTTTTAAATTTTTGTTTGTTTCATTTTTTGTTTTTTTGGAGACAGGGTTTCCCTGTGTAGGTCTGGCTATCCTGGAACTCACTCTGTAGACCAGGCTGGCCTTGAATTCAAAAAGATCCACCAGCCTCTGCCTCCTGAGTACACCACCACTGCTCAGCCAGTATATGAGTGTTTTATTTACATGTATGTCTAAGCATGAATGATGCTGGTGGAGGTCAGAGGAGGATGTCAGGTTCCCTGGAACTGGAGTTATAGATAGTTCTAAGCTACAACATGGGTGCTGGGAATCAAACATGGATGATACTCTTAAAAGAAGTACTTTTTTGTGTGTGTGGGGGGTTCGAGACAGGGTTTCTCTGTAGCTTTGGAGCCTGTCCTGGAACTCACTCTGTAGACCAGGCTGGCCTCGAACTCACAGAGATCCGCCCACCTCTGCTTCCAGAGTGCTGGGATTAAAGGCATGTGCCACCACCGCCCAAAAGAAGTACTCTTAAGCACTGAGAGATCTCTCCAGCATGTGTGGCACCTGTGTGTGTGTCACATGAGTGTGTGTAGTGTGAGTGTGTGTCATATGAGTGTTTGTGTGTGTGTGTGTGTGTGTGTGTGTGTGTGTGTGTGTGTAGTGTGTGAGTGCGTGAGTACAGGTAGTGAAAGACAACTAGAAAGGAGACCATGAGAAGGGAGGAAGGGGGTCTGAAGGAGGTATGAAACAGGATAGGGAAGTGGTTCTGAACCATCCTAACACTGAAGCCATTCAATACAGTTCCTCGTGTTGCTACTTCCTAACTGTGATTTTGCTACTGTTATGAATCATAGTGTAAGTATCTGTGTTTTCTTAGATGATCTGTGACCCAAAGGTTGAGAACCACTGGGAGAGTCAAAAGCAGAAGTGAGGATTTATTATTATCTTATTATTATTTCTCTGCAGCTTTGGTGCCTGTTCTAGAACTAGCTCTTGTAGACCAGGCTGGCCTCGAACTCAGAGATTCACCTGCCTCTGCCTCCTGAGTTTGTTCAGCATGTCCTTTATAGTACGATTTGTCTTTTCTATAACTGCCTGACCTGTAGGATTATTTGGTATACCTGTAATGTACATTATATTATAATAAGAAAAAACGTTTCATTTTTTTAGAAACATATGCCAGACCATTGTCTGTCTTTATTTGTGCAGGTATACCCATGACGGCCATAACTTCTAATAAATGTGTGATTACCAAATCAGCCTTTTCTGAGCTCAAGGCAGTTGCCCATTGAAAACCTGAATACATGACTATGGTGTGGTGTACATATTTTAATTTACCAAATTCCGTAAAGTGAAACAATCCATCTGCCAGATTTCATTCCTTTGAGTATTCTTAAGGTTACTCCCTGCAGGCAACTGTGTTTGATTATAGGAAGAGCAAGTAGGACGTCTACTTATCATCTCCTTAACTTTTTGCCATGTAATAGAAAACTCTTTCTTTAAACCTTTGCTATTGACATGATGTTTTTTATGAAATTCAGAGGCCTGTAATACACTTCCAATCAATAATTGATCACAATGCAATTTCTGCATTACCTTGTGGTTAGAGGACCTGGCAATCCATATGGGATTGGATGTATGTTACGTATATAGGACAAAGCCTATTCCTGATTATGTCTTGCACCTGGATGAATAATGAAGTCAATTCTGTATCATCTGGTATAAATTCAGCAGTTTCAATATGCAAGATAACTCTTTCTGCATATTGCAAATCAGTAACTATATTGAGAGATTCTTTAAAATCCCTTAGCACCATAAGAATAGCATATAATTCTGCCTTCTGGACAGAATTATAAGAACTTTGTTTCACCTTACTTAATTCTTCTGATTTGTAACCTGTCTTCCCTGTTTTATTTGCATCAGTATAAAATGTATGAGCTCCAGTTATTGGAATTATTTCCAATGGCTGGCTGACAAAGTATTGGCACAGGGTGTGGCTATTGAGCATTCCCTGTGAGAGGACAGTCCATTGATATCTCCTAGTGGGCTGAGAATTATTATAAGTAGGCACTGTGAAGGCAAACTTTTCTCTATCCTTTTCTTGTAAAGGTATAGTGAAGAAACAATCCTTTAAATCAATAACTATGAGAGGCCATCCCTTTGGTAACAGAGAAGGCAGAAAATTCCAGATTGTAGAGGACCCATAGGTTGAATAACCTGTTGATAGTCCTTCGATCTGTCACCATTCTCCATTTTCCAGATTTCTTTTTAATAACAAATACAGGAGAATTCCAAGAGTGGTAGATTCTTCTATAGTTCGAGCATCTAGAGCAGTACCAGCTGTTCTAAATCCTGCAACTTTTCTTCAGTTAGAGGCCACTGCTTAACCCATATTGGTTCCTCAGTTAACCATTTTAAAGGTAGGGCTGTTGGTATCTCTGAAGGTTTATCAATTGCTTTGTGTTCTTGTACAACCCAAACAGCTGGTGTCTGTCATCTACAATATCTTCTAATATTTTCCTCAGAAACATAAGTTTTTGGGACTGCAGAAATGTTAATCTGGATATTCCATTGCTGCAATAGGTCACAACCCCACAAATTCACTACAATATTGGCTCTATATGGCCTTAGTCTTCCTATTTGCCCTTCTGGCCCTATGCACTCAACCCATCTTGTGCTTTGTTTTACCCAAGATAGGGTGCCAATTCCCAAGAATTGAATATCTATCTCTTTAAGAGGCCAATTTGTATGCCAAGATTCTGGAGTAATGATACTTGCATCCACACCCATGTCTAATAAGCCTTCAATAAAAATGCCATTTATACAATGGCATTAGTTTTGGTCTTTGATCATTTATGAAAGTCTGCCCAAATATATGGTTCCTCTGTTCTCCTGTAGTTTTTGACTCATCCTCCACATTTAACCCATCATTCAGACCAGTATTGTTTTTTACAGCAGGCATTGGATCTTTTAGTTTTTCTGCTGAGACACGTTCTCCACAGTAACTGGGAATGACTGGACCACATTCGTTATGGTGGCCTGTGAGGTGCCCCCATGGAGTTTCCTGATGGTATCGGGTTGCCTTGTCTATCTTTCATTGACCTACATTCATTTGTTCAATGTTGGTCTTTGCCACACCTCCTACATACACTTGAAGGCTGAGTCCTCCTATTTCTGCCATTCCCAGAGGAGGCATTAGTCCTAGAATTCCTAGGGTTATCTACAATCCCTCCTCATATGTCCTATTCTACTACAATTAAAACATTTGGTATTTTGATGTCTTCTTTTACCATTGGAAATTGCTTCTTCAACCCATGCTCCAGTACCATAGTCAAGTGTCTCTCAACATTCATTGTATGCAAGACCCATTCATCCATGGGTGCTGATCTGATCTTTAAAGGCCCAAGGATTCATTTGCACTCAATGTTGGCATTCTTATAAGCCAAAGATTCAATTATTATACATCTAGCTGCTGGGCCAGTTACCTCTATTTGTACAGCCCTTGTTAGTCTTTGCAAAAAGTCACTAAAAGGTTCTCTCTGACCCTGTTTAACCCTAAGATATGATTAAACTCTCTTACTTAGTTCCTGAATCCTGTCCCAAACCTTTAAAGCTGCTGTACTATATAGGGACAGGGTGTGGTCATCATAAAGAGCTTGATCCTGAGGATCAGAGTAAAGGCCTTTGCCTAGAGTTTGATCTAGGGAAATCTCAAGTCCTTTTGTTTTTTGTTGTTGCTCTAAAATTTTTGTCTTCTCTTTAAAAAAGCACCTCCAAAGTAATTGCTGTCCACTTTCTTGGACTGCTGCTGAGATTAACTGAGCCCAATTTTGAGGCGTTGCTTTGCTACTGAAAGCCCAGGTTTTGACCATTTTCCTAACAAATGATGAA